TCTCATCGATGTTTCTAACTCTCTATCTCTCTCCCTTCCTCTCTGTAAAATTTCAATAAAATATATTTTAAAAAAAAATCAACTGCTATAAATACAGATGTAACAGGAGAAATAAAGACAGAACCTGGCTGGAGAACCTGGCTAGAGAACCTGGCTATGCTGATCAACTGAACGCTGTCTCCGTGACCTTCATTCTTCACCGACTCCGCCCACACCTTTGGGAACCCCTGGACCAGGTGGGGCAGGACCCCAACATCTCAGCCCTGGAATCAACCACTTCTCCTACGAGTCCTAATACCTTTATTGGAGAGAGGCATTTAGAAAACAGTATCTGGGTGCCAAGCATCCTCACTGTTACTGCAGTCACTGCTTCTAGGCTTGGCAGCAGAGAGAAGTGGGAAACACATATGTACACTAATCCACACATGTACAGATATCTGTATTTTTCTGTTACATATTTAAAACCATGAGTTAATAATGACACTTTTGATTCCAAACAAAAATCACAGGATTTATTTTAGCCTTCAACCTTCCCTTGTTTATAACTTCTTTCTCCACAAGTAAGAAACCCAACTCCTATCATTTATAATCCAGTAACTTAATTCTAGAAAATATACACTCTCTACATTCGATTTCTAGTCCCTTTGGAATTTATTATGTAGTGTCATACTAAATTTCCATACCAATTTAAATATAACTGAACTTTCCCTTCTCTTCCGCTGGTCTTTTTGGCAATTCCTGAGCTGGTACCCATTGTTTTAATTATGAGGACTTTGTAGTATATTTTAATATCTGGCAAAATTACTATGCCCTCACAATTTTCCCCCCAGAATTTTCTCTTATTATTGCATATATTCCGTATGAATTTTATTATCAACTTGTCTAACTCCATAAAATAATCCATACTTCTGATATTTTTATTGGGATTGCACTTCATTTATAAATGAACTTAGAAATAACTGACATCATTACAATGTTTAATATTCCTCAAGAACAAAGGATATCTTTCAACTTTTTCAAGTCT